CATTTGTATTTCTTGAATGGCTCATGGATCAACATGTGTCTCTTCAGTTTGTCCTTGCGGTTGAAGGCAGACTCGCACACGGAGCATTTGTAGGGCTTCTCACCTGCAGAGGGAGACAAACACAGGGGAGGGAGGAGAGAGCGGGCCACGAGAGGGCATCTTCACTGTGTCCGTCAGAGACGGACCGCCTCCGCCAGAAAGGGCTGTCTGATGAAACAACCCAGAGCAGCCAGACTCCAAACCCAACTCAGAGTGACCCTCTAGGACAGGGCAGACCCGCCCCTGTGGGGTTCTGAGACTGTTTATGAGAGCAGAAAGCCTGGCTTTCTCTCCCTTGGTGCTGCTGGTGGTTTCGAACTGTGGACCTTTCGGATCTCAGCCCAAATTCATTACCACTGTGCCAACAGTTGGGAGGTGGGGGAATGTCCCAGACAGAAGGAACCACTGGTGCAAAGGCCCTGAGGTGGGAATACGCCTGGAGTGCGCTCACTGTGGCTAGAGCCAGGAGGCTGGGATTGGAGGGACCAAGAGGCAAGAGGGGAGGGCAGATGGTGGGGGGTTAAAAGGGAGATGATGCCAAGGGGTCAAGGAAGGAAAAGAATGTTTGGAAACTGATTGCGGTAGCAATTGTATAATTCTGCTTGATGTGATTGAACTTTGGAATGATATATGTATAACTCCCAATTTTAAAAAAGGGTGGGGCAGCCAGGTACCTGGGCCCAGACTGGGAGGGCTTAGCAGGCCAAAGTAGGAACTAGGAAAAAACGAAAAGCCCCCTGACGGTCTAAGCCAGTGGTTCTCAACCTGTGGGTCTCAACTCCTTTGGGGGTAGAATGACCTTTTCATAGGGGTCGCCCGTTCATAACAGCAGCAAAATGGCAGTAATGAAGTAGCAACGAAAATAGTTTTATGGTTGGGGGGTCACCACAACATGAGGAACTGTATAAAAGGGTCACAGCATTAGGAAGGTTGAGAACCACTGATCTGAGCAGAGGAAGGACAAGATCTGTGTATGTTTTTAACAAGCTCCCCTGGCTGGGTGAGGGAGAGGAGGAGGGGTGGGGGTGTGGAGGAAAGGGGCAGCCGGGGAGTGGTTGGGTCCAGGCTATGTTGGAAAGTTTGGATTTCATAGCCCTTGCCAACGGATGGTGGTGGGTGTGAGAGAAGAGAGACTTCAAGGGCGGGCCTGAGGCATGGTGTTTACTGGAATAATCGGTGGAAGACATAGCATTTACTGGAATAAAATCCACTGGGGGTGGGGTGTGGGGAGAGGAGGGAAATCGTGCCTTATGCAGCTGAACTCTTGTCAAAAGCATGAAGTAACACAGAATCACACCACCTAAGTCATGAATTCTCTGCCAGGTAGACATCATCCATCCATTGTCTGTCTAAGTGATTTGAACGCAGGGACCCGAGTGGAATTTGTACACTAGCGTTCAGAGCAGTAATATTCCCAAAGGTGGGAACAACCCAAATGCCCATCAACATGAACCAAAATGTGGTACATCCACTCAAGGGACCACTTGGCCATAAAAAACAACAGAGCACTGATACATGTGACCACGTGGAAGGCCTTGGAAGCATTGCCCTCAGTGAGACCAGCCAGACACAAACAGGACAGACTGGTGCCAGCCATTGTGCCACCCATTGTGCAAATGTTCCAGAGCAGACTGAAAGCGGATTAGTGGGCTGGGGAGAGGGTCCGGGGCGGGGAGTTATTGCTTCATGAATGGAGAAATTCTGTTGGGGGGTGAAAAGACTTGGAAACAGATGGTGACGGCTGCAGAGTCATGTGGGTATGATTAATGCCACTGAATTGCACCCCTGAAAAGGGGCGAACATGGCACATTTTATGTTGTGTACAATTTAACATAATTTTAAAAAAACATGAAGTCAATGAGGTCTATTGTTGAGTCCCATTTTATAGATGAAAAAACTGAGACTCCTCGAGATGACGTGATTTGCTCCAAGTTGACACCTCGTGGTTGTGGGGGAGCTGGGATCCTAGCCCAACAGGGTGATCCAGACTGGTGTACTGCTGCCGGACCTTGAGGAGGGCCCGTGCAGGGGCAGAAGGAGCCCTGGTGGCACCGTGCCAATGGTCATCAGTCTAACCTCTGCTCAGTGGGGGAGAGATGAGGTGTCTGCTACTGTCAAGATGAGCAGCCTTGAAAGCCTGTGGGGGCAGTTCTGCCAGGTCCTGGAGGGTCGCTCTGTGTGAGAAGCTCCCCAAAGGCAGCAGAAGGGAGCTAAGGAGCCGGCAGAGCTCCCACCCAGTCCAGGCTGGGGGTCCCTGGGGGACCCACAGAAAAACAAGGGAGGTGCCTACAAAACTGTTCTGGTCCCAAGTAGTCCTTAGGAAAAGGGTTGCTCCTGGGCAATCCTGACTTCCTGCCAACGTTTCCTCTTTCGGTTCCCTCTGGAGCGAAGAGAGTGCTTTTGGAAAACGCCAGTGCGGTGGTCAAGGAAATTCTGGTCCGCACAATGGAACACTGTGCCGCCCTTATAAAGGCTAAGGTTGACCTGGGTTTCCTGATCTGGAAAGATCTCCTGGACCGATTGCTTGGAGGAAAAGAGAACTGTAACCCAGCTTGACGCAGGTCCATCTCTGTGAGAAGAAAATGCCATCTCTGCCCCACCCCCAAACCAAAACCCTAGTCATGTGTGTTTGTGGCTACACAGAACATGCAGGGAGAAAGAGGCGGGAGAGCGCATGCCCAACTGTGGGGGAGCAGCTCGATTTGAAAGGAGAATTTAACATTTTACTTTACCTCCTTCGACCTGCCTTCTATTTTTGTAACAAGCTGATATTCCTTTTGAGTAATAATAATTTTTAATGCTATAACAAGAGCAATTTGGTACTATCTATCAAATTTGCCATGGCAGCCGTTTTAACCTAGTATAGTCCATTGCTTGGAACATATGCCACAGATAACGCCGAGAGCTTCCAGGAGACCCACACAGCAGTGTGTCCAAGCAAGCTAACAGCTGAGAAATAACATGAGCTCCCGTCCACAGGAGACTGCTTAAATGAATATGGTAAAGCCATCCAGAGGAAGACTGATAGCTATAAAGGAAAAAGAAGGTGCTATTGGGAAACGCCTTCAAAAGTATTATTTCTTGGTAAGTGAAGAAAACAAGGCATGGGATTCGGTGTGTGTTTTGTGCTTGCTGCTGTAAGAATAAGCAAACAAGTCGCCCAGACAAACCACAGCACAACCGCTGCCATAGTTTACACTGTCTCCTGGCAACTCCCCGTGTGTCAGGGGAGACCTGGCCCCATCAGGTTTTTAAGGCCCATTTTCTGAAAGCAGACCACCAGGCCTTTCTTCCTCCAAACGTGCAGTGAATAGCTAAGCACATTAATCATCTGCACCGGCAGGGACGCCACCGACAAAACAACACTGGGTGAAGAGCTGTTTGGAGCCCCTGGGTGGTACAAGCAGTTAATGGGGCTCAGCGGATAATGGGGAGGTTGAAGGCTTGAGTCCAATCAGATGTGCATCTGCAGAAAGCCCTGGCAACCCGCTTCCAAAATATTAGCCAGGGAGAGCTGTATGGGACACGTTCTCGTCTCACATACATGGGACTCGATGGTCATCATGGGCAGCTGCTGCCTTTGGGACTGGAGTCCTGGTGTTTTAGTGGTTACATTGGGCTGCAAACCTCAAGGTCCACTGTTCAAAACCACCAGCAACTCCAAGGGAGAAAGACGAGGCTCTGGACTCCTGTAAAGAGTCACAGTCTCAGAAATCCTCAGGGGCAGTTCCACCCTGTCCTGAGCTGGAATTGACTCGATGGCCGTGGGTGTGGTTTCTTTAGTTACCTTGGGGGAGGGAGATGGGAAGGTTTTGCACAAGGCCAGCGGCCAGGCACAGCCTGTCAGTTGTGATTGGAAAAGCTGGAATTGGAAAACAGAAGTTGAGCAGGAAAGGCTAGGCAGCATTATTTCGGGAAGCTTTCCTTTGAATATACTGTATTCTGTAGTATAGGTGGACACTGTGTTGCAGCGTGGTGTGTGTGTGTGTGTGTGTGTGTGTGTGTGTGTGTGAGTGAGATGGGTCTTAGTGAAAAGAAACTGGAGAAACGACTGACACTCAGGTGGCCTGAGGGAGAAGTCCGCTCTCGTCATACACGCTTTTGCACTGCTGAGGTTTTCTTAAGCTTTGGATCTTTTTCAGTACTGTTTTCAATGGAAAAAACGCTTTTATTAGTACAAAGAAATGTAAAGACTAAAAGAAAATGTGTCAGAGAACGAAGGAGAGGGCTTTTTTCTGAGTTTGGGCAGGAATTCTTAACGAGTACAGTGCCCCCCAGGGTCCCAGAATGGCCCTAGAAGAGGCTGCCTCTTGGGGGAGGAAGGTAGTAGCTGTTAGGTCAACCAGGCAGGATGCACTCTGCAGGATTAGGCTGTAACCTGAGTCATTTTCTTTTGAGATATAAAAGAAATTAAATATGTGACCAGATGGACCCACTACCTCCAAGAAATAAGCCGGAATGAGAGCTCATCCTTTGGACCTGGGGTCCCTTAGCTGAGAAACTCCTAGACCCAGGGAAACATTGATGACAAGGACCTTCCCCCAGAATCCACAGAGAAGGCCTTTCCCTGTGGCTGGGGCCCGGAATTTGGACTTCTGGTCTCCTAAACTGAGAGACTACATTTCTGTTGGCTAAAGTACAGCCACCACTTGTGGCATTTGTGTAATAGTGACACTGGATAACTAAGACAGAGGCAGAACCAAGAATTCCCCTACCCACTCCAGGAGCTCCCCTCTGTTCTTGTGTGGGGAGGAAACCCTGGCTCATGAATGAGAGCTGGCGGGGAGGGGGGCCAGGAAGGGGATGAGAAGGGGCTGGGGAGGAGGTCATGAGGGGGAAGGGGCGAGGGCCAGCAGGGATGTGGGGAGGAGACTGGATGGAGGTTGGGTGAGGCGGGGACACCCACCTGAGTGGATGTGCGCGTGTAGCTTGAGGTAGTGCTCCCGCCGGAAGAACTTCTTGCACACCTGGCACTTGAACCGCCCACCAGTGCCGTGGGTGGGCAGGTGCCGCCGCAGGTAACGTTCGCAAGGAAACACCTGGCAGGAGAGAGGCGTCAGCTGATTCAGGCCTGAGTGACCGAGGGGCAGCGGAGAGGAGCTACAGGCATGTCACCAGACCTCCATGTTCTTGACATCTCAAGTTCAAGGAGCCCCTGGGTTCTAGTCCCTACGGAACACAATCCTCTCTGCCCCCAGCAGCCAGAGTCCTCAGTGACAGCCATCAGGGTCAAGTTCTAGAACCTCATGGCCTTCTCTGCTCACCACAGGCTTTCTCTGAGCTGCTGTGCTTTTGACTCACGAGGCCTTTCTTTCTTAGCCTGAGAGCCTCCTAGTCACGGTCAAGACCAACTCAGGTGTCCCTGCTTCCGGGAGGTCTTCTCTGACTCCTAGATGCCATGCCAGGAAACGCAAATGCCCCTCGAAAGACCACCCAAACTTGACAGCCTTCTGGCCCGGTGTGGACCCCTGTTGACTACACCTGTTTGCTCACACAGAGAACTCCAAGAGGGCAGAGAGGGGTCTCTCGTTCTCTAGCCCAAGGCCTGAGTCAAGTGACCGATGAGTAAAGAAGCGAATGAATACATGAACAAATCGTTAAGAAACGAAGGGGAAGAGAATAAATAGAAGGGGGGGGGTCGGAAATCATTAAGAAATGAAGGGGAAGAGAATAAACAGAAGGGAGGGTCGGATTCTCTCCCTTCCCTAGGTCAAGGGAGGGCGTCCATTCGTAGTTTCTTATTCATTTAGGACAGGAAAGTGAACACAGACCCCACTGGCTCTCAGCCCACCATTTCCCAGCTGGGTGACCTTTCTGAGCCTCAGTTTCCCTTCTGTGCACTGGGGGAAAGAATACAACCCCCTAGGGTCGCTATCAGTTGCAGAAATCAACTCGATGGCAGTGATTTCTTTTTTTGACCTCCTAGAGGTATGGTGAGGAATATATTACACCGCATCACTACTTGTCGACTAATTTTGCTAGCTGGCACTTTACACTCACAACTATAGTAAGTAGCGTATTGCGCTTGTGAATGATATGCGTCTGGCAGTGATGAATGCCAAGGTGTGAGGCGAGACTACTACTGGCTGTGTTGGTTAGGGTGGAGAGTGAACTTGGCTGGGCCCTGCTTCTCAGTGGTTTGGCCATCCTGCATTTACTGAGCGGATGGGGTCCACGTCCACCTTCACACACCGGGCCCACCTGCTCTACATCAGGGGTGGGCACAGTCAATTCGCACAATTTGGGAGGCCTTCTGCTGGGACTGCATATTCCAAAGGCCCAAACTGAGGTCTCTCCTCAGAAACATTTGCAGTGAGGCCAAAGTGTGAAACCGAGTGGCCCTGGACAAATCTGTCACTGGCAGGTTGTAAGAAACGGAGTAAAACAAGGAAGTCAGTTCAACACACCAGGGGAGGCAAACAGCAAAATCCACTTGTCGGCAGGAAACTCCACAGGTGTGATGACTCAGTTTCTTCCAGACTTAACGGCGGAAATCTATAGATTACTAGAAACTTCTGTCCCTGCAACCAGTCATCATTTGCAGACCTGAGTTAAGCAACTTTTTTTTTTAAGATGATGTTTTGAGACCACTGGAAATTTGCAAACTCTCTGGGTATCTGATGATATTAAGGACCAGGCTTTAGTGAGGGCTCCCGATTGGTTGAAAAGAACAACTACTAGCACTGAAGGGTGGGGAGTTGGCAAGCTGGGAGGCAGCTGTTCAGCCGCTGGCAGTGCCCCTGGTTGGTCGGCCTGGCCTGCCCTGCCCCAGCAGTAGCCTTCTCTGTAGCCAGGTCTGGGAAGAAAGGCCAGCCAGGCATCGCTCCTCCTCTTCAAAGAGAAAGTCTGTGCTCCGTCCCTGCGTCCTGCCTGCCTGGACTGAGGCAGACAAGGAGGGGAGGACCCAGCATTCGCCACCTCCTCTCCCACTATGACCACCCTGGCCTTGGGGAGGAGGGTGGCAGTACCCACCTTTTGGCAGTGCGGGCAGGGAAAGTTGTGAGTGGCGGTCTGCAGGTGGTGGTCGAGGGCTTCGGGGGTGGAGTATTTGTTGACGCATTGGACACACCTGGGTGGGAAGAAGCAGGAGCGGTAAGAGAGGGGCAGGTGGGGGATTGGGCTTGCAGGAACGAGCCATCGCCCAGCACCGCATGACCGAGACAAACCAACCAACCCAACTCACTGCCATCAAGTTTATTCCAACTCACAGCGACCCATGGGGCATGGCAGAATTGCCCCTGTGGGTTTCCAAGACCGTAACTCTTTACAGGAGTAGAAAGCCTCATCTTTCTCCTGAGGGGTGGCTGGTGGTTTTAAACTGCTGACCTTGTTAGTGGCCCAATGAGTATCCGAGAGGGGGGGGGGCGAGGAACCCATCTTTAATGCATTCTCAAATCCATTCATTCTTCTTTCTTGCCATCGCAGGCTTCCTGGTTGGAGCCGGCCCTATCCCACACTCAGACATAAGCAGAAGCCTCCTCATTGGTCTCCCTGCTTCCACCCTGACTCCCATAGTCCGTTCTCCAGAAGGCAGCCAAAGGGAAACTTTAAAAATCAGACCAAGACAATCCTTTTGTGTAAAATTCCCACCTCAGCCTACAAGACCCTAGTGACCTGCCCTTTCCCGAACCTCTCAGACCTCCTGTTGCCACTCCCATGTCACTCATTTTTCTCCAGCCGCCCTGGTCTTCTGCGGCACAAGCGCACCACGTTCACTCTCACCCCAGGACCTTTGCACTTGCTGCTCGTGTTACCTGGAACATTCACCCCCTGGGTGGCTCCTTCTTACTCTTCTCCTATGGCAAGTCAATTGTCACCTCCTTCCTTCCCTGGACACCTCAAGTTGCCTCCCATGCCCCGGCCCAGGTCATTCCCCGTGGGTCCCCCAGTTTTACGTTCTTCTTGCTGTTGTTGTTAGGTGTCATCAAATTGGGTCTAACCAATGCCAACCCTCTGTACAACCGAAAAGCTTGGCGCTGGGCCACCTTCACAACCGGTCCCGTGTTTGAGCCCGCTGCTGCAGTCCCTGCGTCCATCCATCTCCTTGAGGCTCTTCCTCTCTTTCCCCCACTCACCCTCTACTTGACCAAGCACAATGTCCTCTTCCAGGGATCCATCCCTCCTGAGGACACGGATGAGGTTTGTGAGACCAAGTTTTGCCACCCTTGCTTCTAAGGAGCATTCTGGTTGTACTTCCTCCAACAGGAATTCGTTCAATTGTCTGGCAATCCGTGGGGTATTAAATGCTCTTCCCAGCACCATAATTGGACTATCTCAGTTCTTCTTTATTCGTTGTCTGCCTTTCACATGCATAGGAGGCAACCGAAAACACAGTGGCTTAGGTACCTTAGTTCTCCACGTGACCTCTTTGCTTTTGAACATTTTCTAGAGGTCCCGTGAAGCAGATTTCCCTAGGGCAATACCTTGTCTGATGTCGTCACCAATTTTCTTCTTAGCACTTAGGATCTGCAGCGGTTTCCCTTCATTGACTTGCTCACGTGGCTATTATCTATTTCCCCCACTAGCGAGGGAGCACTGGAGGCGGGGTCCTATCTGTCCTATACACACAGGTTCCGAGGGAGACTCTGTGATTGGAATGACTCACACAGACAAGAAACCAGGCCTGGTCCTCCTTCCCTCGTCCATAAAGCGGGGGTAAAAACTCCGAATGGGCCCACCCGACATGGATTTTGAAGATTGTCCCAAGAGTCAAAGATACATGTGTCAAACAGCCCAAGAACTGCATGTCTTTATCCAACATGCCCACAACCCACTCTGATGAAAGGAGAGGCCACTTCCCCGCCACGGGAACATGTGCCAATGAGGAATGCCAGAGGTAGGTGAGCAGTTCACGCCCCAAACAGAAAGGCAGGCCCTGCCTCTGTACCCCAGTGTCACAGCAGGTTAGGCAGGTCCAGAGGATCTTGGCTTTGCAAGCACAGCCCCGGAACCACACGCGACGTGCTTCCAGGTGGAGGGGGAGTGAAAGAGCATGTGCATGCTTCCAGCTCAGCATTATGTGTTTGTAGCATGCTGGTGAGGGTGGGAGCGGACAGGAGACTCACTTATGATGATAAATATGAATGTGGTGTGTATTCGCAGACATATCCCACAGTGGGGAGGAGATAAATATTTGTTTGGAAGGTAGTTTAGTAACAACCGTTAAGATGCTGTGCCATTCATCAGAACAAAAATCTTACCATAGTGAATGATGGGGGGAGTGTGGAGTGGAGATCCAAAGCCCATTAGTAGGCCACTGGAGATCCCCTTGCAGAGG